CCACCCAATCCGTGCCGAGGCGGGGGGCGGGGCCAACCTCCGCACGCGACAATGCCCGCCGTTCTGGGCATGCGCCCTCACGCCCTCGACGGGGCGAACGCGGCTGGGCTGTTTGCAGCTCGGTGTGAACGAAGGTTGTCGGCGCCTAGATTGCCCGGGCTCACTCAGGGCTACGCGGACGACGTGGCCAGCGTCCGAGCTCTTCCAGCTAAAATTTTTTAAAAAGAATTATTTTACTCTGTGTATTAATTTATCTTTAATTTGACCGGTGAGAGAGAGAGGTGAAAAAGCAAGCCACCAGGTCCGGGACTTGAACCACACTCCCATGTGGAAGTGTCCAGTTCCTTAACCACCATGCCACCCACTGGTTCCCCCCTCACCCCCAGCTCTTCGAACCTTTTTGTTTGGAGAGATTCTTGCTATAGGGCACTTGCGCTCACAAGAAAGAGACTGAAAGCGAGAAATCACCCCTCAGGGGGGATGGTCATGCCACAATCCCTTCTCCATTCTCCTCAGGATCTTGGGCACGCACGCACAAGTGTCTGCTGTCAGTTTAAGCCACCAGATCCAGGACTCGAATCGTGGTGGACAACATGGGAGTCCAGCGATTACGCCAACTGCTGGTCCCAGCTCTTCCAACTTTTATAAGGCCTCCACCAGCTCCTCCCACCTTCCATGGATGCCCTATTTGAGGTCTGTTGCCTCCCCTCCTCCCTACCCAGGCAACACCACCAAGGACTCCACTCTGCCGGATTTTTTTGTTGTTGTTGTAGAGGTTTTTGCTATAGGGTGCGTGCACTCACCAGACAGAGAGACAGAAAGCGAGAAATCACCCCCCAGGGGGCATGGCCACGCTGCAATCCCCTCTCCCCTGTTCTCCGCTAGGGATCTTGGGCACGCACGCACATGCACCCGGTGTGAGTTTTAAGCCACCGGGTCCGGGACTCAAACCGCGGTCGACAACATGGGAGTCCAGCGACATAGCCATTACACTAACTGCTGGTCTCCGCTCTGCCGATTTTTTCATCCTCTTCCTGTCCAGCATCAAACCCACTCCTCCCCAGCTTCTGTCCTCCCTCCTCCCGGGTCAGTTCGCTCTAGCCTGGCTGTGGTCTCTTCACCTGCATCTCCAGCCCCTCCTGTGACCATGGGCTGCGTCTCTGAAGGTCTTATCTTCATCATGTCTTTAATGACCTCCATCCTGGTTAGAACCCAAAACCATCTGGGGCTCATCCCTCTCTTGAGCTCCAGACCCATGTCCGAATGTCCACTGAGGACGATTCTTGGGCATCTCACATGGAATGCACCCAGAGTCACAACTCCCCCCGCTCCACCGAATCCTGTTTTTCTCCCCCCTACTCAGTCAGCCACTGACCCACCACCCACCCCTTCCTCTTTTTTTTTTAAAGATTAATTAATTTATTATTGCTATTTAATTTTATCAGAGCCAGGCACGGTGGTGGAAGTGAGAAAGCAGTCCCACCAACACCACTACTGGCCCTGAGATCCATGGAGTGTACTTGAGAAGCCAAACTGTATTTTTCACTTTTTTTTTAAAAGGAGAAATCTGTATTGTATTATTTTATTTATTTATTTATTTATTTTTGGGAGAGGTTTTTGCTATAGGGAGCATGCACTCATCAGAAAGACAGAGACAGAGAGACAGAAAGCGAGAAATCACCCCCCGGGGAGATGGCCACCCAACCCCATCTCCTTCATTCTCCTCTCGGGATCTTGGGCCCCCACGCACACACACCCCCAACGTGAGTTTAAGCCACCGGATCTGGGACTCAAACCGTAGTCGGCTACATGGGAATTCAGTGGCATAGCCATTATGGTAACTGCTGGTCCCTATTATTATTATTTTTAATTTGACCAGACATAGACAGAAAGAAAAAGGGAAAGCAAGAAACCAAGGCACCAGGTCCGGGACTCAAACCACAGTTGGCCATGTGGGAATGTAGCACCTTTAACCACTATGCACTTCTAAGTTTTGTTAGAGGGTCTGTGCATTCACCAGGGAGAGAGAGGGAAAGTGAGAAGTCACCCGCTGTGGGGATGGCCTTTCTCCTTCGTTCACCTCTCAGGATTTGGGGCAAGCAGGCACACGTGCCCAGAGGTTTGAAACACACCAGGCCTAGGCCTCGAACCACACAGTTGCCCATGTGGGATCCAACGGCCTTAGCCACTGCCACCTGTAGATCCCGCTCTCTCCAAGGAGGAGGAAGGGCTCACTTCCTCCTACCTGGAAGTGAGAGTGAGGAGCAGATAACCGAGAAGGAATAGGGGCTGCTCTTGGATTACAGACGGACATTCAGATATGCTGGGGCTCCAATCTCCATTCCACCCTCCTCTCCAGTCTGATTTTTTCTTTTCTTTTTTTTTGGAGAGGTTTTTGTTATAGGGCGTGTGCACTCACAAGAAAGACAGAGAGGCAGAAAGTGAGAAATCACGCCCCGGGGGGGGGGGATGGCCACTCCTGAATCCCTTCTCCTCCATTTTCCTCTTGGGAGCTTGGGCACGCACATGCGCCCAGTGTGAGTTTAAGCCACCGGGTCTGAGACTTGAACCACGGTCCAGCAACATAGCCATTATGCCAACTGCTGGTCCCCACTCTTTTCCTTTTTTTTTTTTTTCTTTTTGGAGAGGTTTTTGCTATAGGGTGCGTGCGCTTGCCAGACAAACAGAGAGAGAGACAGACATAGAGACAGAAAGCGAGAAATCACCCCCTAGGGGGGATGGTCACGCTGCAATCCCTTCTCCTCCATTCTCCTCTCAGGATCTGGGGCACGCACGCACACACGCCCGGTGTGAGTTCTAAGCCATTGGGTCCAGGGCGCAAACCGCGGTCGACTACGTGGGAGTCCAGCGACATAGCCATTACGCTAACTGCTGGTTCCCCCCACTCTTTGACTTTTAAATATATAGTATGTGCCCTTTTTTTCAAATAGGACAAGCACCCTTAAGGGTCAAGCAGACCCAATTTATTTTTATGCTGTGCTAGTAACCATGCTTCTCACGGTATAGATCTATTTGTATTTTTTTTTTTTTAAGAGAGATTTTTGCTATAGGGTGTGTGCGCTCCCCGAAGAGACAGAGAGAGTGAGACAGAAAGTGAGAAATCACCCCTCAGGAGGAATGGCCACACCACAATCCCTTCTCTATTTTTCTCTTGGGATTTCAGGAGCGTAAGTTGCCCAGTTTGTTTTAAGCTACTGGGTCCAGGACTCAAACAGTGATCGACACACGGGAGTTTAGCGACCTAACCATTATGCCATCTGCTGGTCCAAATTTATTCATATTTTTAAAAAGTGTACAATACGGGTCGCAGGTGGTGTGATGGTTAATGTACTGGACTCCCAGACGGCCAGCCATGGTTTGAGTCTCAGACCTGGCAGCTTGCTTTCTCACTTTCCCTCTCTCTCTCTCTGGTCAAATTTTAAAATAATGGTGAGAGGCTGGCAGATGGCATGGTGGTTCAGCCATGGCTGAACTCGGTTTGAGACCTGGACCCGGAGACTTGCTTTCTCATTTTCCTTCTCTCTTGCTCTGTCCCTCTCTGCTCTAATTAAAATAAGTAAATAAAGATAAATAAAATAATTCTTTAAATAAATAATTCTTTTTTTTTAAGTGTACCACGGGACCAGATGGTAGCACAAGAGTAACACAACTGGACCCACATGGGAAGGTCCACGGTTTGCACAGCACACCCACGATGCTGGCAGAGATCGGGAGTGGAATGCACCCTGAAGTCCCTGTTAGGGGTGCCTCTCCCTCACAGTAAGAAAAAATAATTAGGACCAGCAGTTAGCATAATGGCTATATCGCTGGACTCCCATGTAGTCGACCGTGGTTCGAATCCTGGACCTGGTGGCTTAAACTCATGCCGGGCGCATGTGCATACGTGCCCAAGATCCCAAGAGGAGAATGGAGGAGAAGGGATTGTGGCATGGCCATCTCCCCTGGGGGGTGATTTCTCGCTTTCTGTCTCTCTGTCTTTCTCTGTCTGGCGAGCTCAGAAAAAACCCCTCCCCCCCCCCAAAAAAAAAAAAAAAAAAAAAAAAGTAAGTATACCAGGTCTGGGACTAGGTCTGGTGTAACGGTTATGTCACTGGACTCCCACGTAGTTGACAGCAGTTTGAGTCCCAGATTCAATTAATTAGAACTTATGCTGGGCACATGTGCATGCATGTCCAAAATCCTGAGAGGAGAATGGAAAAGGGATTGAGGCGTGGCCATCCCATCTGGAGGGTGATTTCTTGCTTATGTCTCTGGCGAACACACGCACCCTATAGCAAAAAAATCTCTTAAAAAAAAAAAAGAAACAGCAGTTAGCGTAATGGCTATGTCACTGGACTCCCATGTAGCTGACCGCAGTTCAAGTCCTGGACCCAGTGGCTTAAACTTACGCCAGGTGTGTGTGCGTGCGTGCCTAAGATCCCAAGAGGAGAATGGAGGAGAAGGGATTGCGTTCTGGCTATCCCCCCCTGGGGGGTGATTTCTCACTTCCTGTCTCTGTCTCTCTGGCGAGCGCATGCATCCTGTAGCAAAACCTCTCAAAAAACAAACAAACCAAAAAGTATACCAGGCTCCTCTTCTACACTGGGCACTGCCAAAAGAAATGAAAAATAAAATAGTGACTGGGAGGTGGCATGGTGGTTAAGGTGCTGGACTCTCACATGGCCAACCACAGTTCAAGTCCCAAATCTGGAGGCTTGCTTCCTCACTTTCCTTCTTTCCCTTCATCTCTCCCTGGTCAAATTAAAAAATAAAATAAAGGTCTCTGCCCACAATGTCCCCAGTCTAATGAAGA